TTTTTTATTAAAAAATTTGGATGTTTTAAAATATTTAAAACATGTTTTAAAACAGGTTGTTTTAAAATATTTGCCATCTTTATGTGTGATGCATAAAATTTGAACACAGCAATTTGAAAAGTGCAGTAATCTAATTTAGCTGCTTCTCAAAAGTGGCTAAGATAATCAGTACTCAATATATTAAGCAAAAATACTTAGAAATCTATATTAGGTTTATAAAGTTTTTATAAAATTCAATAAACTTTCTATATAATTTTACATAAAAATTTTATATAAATCTATATCTCTCTTAATCAATAGTAAGATTTTCCAATAAAATACTTAGAATAAAGTAATAAATATATATAGTATATAATGTTATGAAATATAAAAAAATATTTACAACGAATCTAAAATTTTCTCAGTAATATTTACAAGCTCAGGACCAGATTCTTTCTACTCCCCATTATGAGTAAGTTTTCGTGGCAAGCTGGTTACATGATCTACATGATCTACATGATCTACATGATCCTTAATAAAACTATCCACAAATTCTTTACACTTTCTTTGCACAATTGTTAGAAAAGATCTTGGTACCATTTTTCATTTTGGTTCCATAAAGGAATCTTGTAGTTCATCATCTTCCAATGCCTGCACTAATTTTGAGTCGTCACTAATAACTTGGCTGGCCAGAGGATTTTCCCATTTTAACTGGGATAGATTTTCTTGAATAAGACTAGAGTAGAGACTTTGATAAAGCGGTGGCTTTTTTTTTTAAGCTTTCTCTTTAACTCATCTATGTTTTTTGCAATCTGATTCGATTTAAGTGGTCTTTTCACGTTCGTTTCAATGGCACCAATGTCACGCAAACTACAAACACCTTCAAAAGCATTCTAAGAATTCTAAAAACAGATTTCTATCCACAGCAAAGTTGCGGGATTTTTAATCGATTCGATGATGATCATAATTATTATCGGATTGAAATCTATTTTTAGAATTCCTGGTTTTCTCTTGGCGTCACCCATTTATATATATGCAATCATTTCATCGACAATCACTTCACCGAACACCCTATCGCACAGCGCGATGATTAATATTTAACGATTGTTTGATGATTAATAATTATTGTTCAATATTACTCCTTACGCCGTGTGATGGGGTGCTCGGTGAAATGATTGTCGATGAAATGATACGTATCCATATATAATATAAGTATTATACGTACTATATATACTATATAGCAATGTTATTAGTTTTGAAAAAATTATTAATAATAATCATAAATATTCATGATTATAAATATTCATAAGCATCATAAATCATAAATAATATATGAAATAATGTAATCGAATCTTTCTATATACGTAAATTTATAAATATCGATATTAAACTGTATTGATCTAAAAATAAATTTAAATTAGTGAATCAAAAAATTCTTTATTCCTGTGCAAAGGGTGTGAACTTAACGAAAGTCCCAAGCGTAGAACTGATCTAGAGTATGTATTTACTTAGATATGCATTTAACTCGATTGAATTATATATTAAAAATTGATCGTGGGTTCGAGCCAGTTCAATCCAATCAAATCGCAACCTGATCAAAACCAATAGACATAATAAATATAAAGTACTTTTAAAATTACAAAAATGTACAATCCTAATAATTATATAAAAATAATAAAGCCCTAAATCACATTATAAGTGCAATCAATTATTATTTTGTATGTCATATTCTTATTATTTATTTTTTTATTATTTTTTTTTTTTGTCCACATTTTACATAAAGAAGCATTACGTAAACTATATTTATCATACAGTCACCAAGTGAAACTAAGTTAACTCCTCAAGTGAAACTATTCCAATTCCCCAACTTGTCAAAATTCGGTTACATTCTTGTTTAACATGATCAGCAATTGGTGAATTCCATTTTCCTGCATAAGAGAATTGTCGAGCGTGCTTAAGACATGCTTCCCAGGAATAAGTTACATACATACGACTATTAATTACTTTCTATAAATTTTTTTTTTTAAAAAAAAATGATTAAATTAAAAATAATACCTTGAGAAATTAATACCTTGAGAAATAAATAAGAATAATGAGTATACAAACCTGCCATTTTGAATCTGCATTTTTATAAATACGGGACTCGGTATTATATTGATGAATAATCAAAAAATCATCTGGAGCAACCCATAATTCTGACCCACTTAGGTATATTTGGAGCAGACAGGCAGCTTTATTACTTTCGAAACGTTCTGTACACCTGTTAAACAATAAGTATTAAATTTGAGCAATAATGATAATAATATAATAATCGGATTCGGATATTTCATCGATAGGGAACCTAATAATCAGTTCTAATATAAGGTAGGTGATAACTGTTAAATTGCATTAAGAAACAATTCTAATGATAAAATGACCAGTCGGGAAAAAGTCTAATCGGAAAAATCAACTTAATAAAATAATAATAAAACTTACCAAGGTATTTTAGCACTTTTTCTCATAACAAAATTTGGAGTATAATGTAATTCATAATCTTCAACTTTGTATACTTTATCACTATTCATCCATTTACTTAAACAAGTTGGACCATTATTAAGTTCCCAACCCTTATCTTTTAATCCCAATAAACGACTTCGTACCAATCTTTTGACATCTTGTTTTTTTTGAGGAAACTCAAATTCTTTAACATCATTAGCGAAAGTAAAAGTTGGTAATATCAAAACATCATTGTTTAAGAGTAAATCAGCATGATTCAAAATTCCTTGACGTAAACCAGACTTTGGCCAAGTGTCCAAATCAAGAAAAAAGATGAATTCAGTACGAGCAAAGAATCGTACAGTATTCATATGAAGATTAATTTCTGAAGGTTGTGACGTCTCGTTCACTGTACTATATGGACCCGATATGAGATGTATGTCAACATACATTGAAACATTTGAATTATTTTTGTAAATATTTTCAATAGAATGTAAAATGTCTCTTATAATATTATCATTATTAAATTTTTTTAATTTTGAAGGAAGATGTAAAGTAGCAGATATTGGACCTAAAAATTGATTTTCAAGAAAAATTTTTTAATGATAAACAATTGATATTCAAGAAAAATTTTTAATGATTTAAGAAAAATTTTTTTTTGATTTTCAAAAAAAATTTTTTAATGAATTAAAAATTTTAATGATATAAAAAAAAAGATTTTTAAGAAAATTTTAATGATTTAAAAATTACCGTAGTGCACTGACCAAAGCAACCCCCATTTTCATAAAATATAATACCCGGGTACTTTGCATGACATTTTTTTTGATATCATCACATATTGATTTCTACATCACATATATGTACTTTGGTCAGTGCACTACGGTATTTTTTAAAAATCTTTAAAAACTTACAAAACATACATAAAGAAAATATAAAAATGTACCTTTCCACATATCAGCCAATCTTACTAAATCATCCAATCGATCTGGTGTGATGTAAGCAGCAGCAGTCACATCAGGATTATTAGGCTCAAACATTGCACGAAAGTAATAAGGATATATATGATCAGTCAATGATCGTGGAGAGTAACTGTGCATTTTTGAAAATCGAATGGTTTGTTTCATCGTAGATATCGGAGAAATTGAGTTCGTGTCTGTGAACTCAACATTATAAACAACGTCAATATAATTAATTTCAAACAAAAAAAAAAAAAAAACGGGTAAAAAAAAAAAAAAGTTACCATAAGTTCTCGGAATAGCTTTTGACATCAAATTTACTGGTGAAATTATTTCAGTTGCTAAAAAATATGCCAGAAGTTGCATTGGTAAAAAGCACATGGAAAATATTACATATAGTAGCATCACGAATTTAACTATTTTTGATTTCAAAAGCCATATAACATATGCTTTGAGTGTGGTTCGTGAAGACGACGAAACTCCAAATAAATATGAGTATTTGCTAAACCACATAATTGTTTATTATTCCTAAAATGTTCTTTTGCGTTTTTCCGTTATTGAAGAAAGGTTATACATCAATCATTTATCAAAAAAACTTTATAATCGATTTACCTCTTATAATCGATTTTAAGATTTATGGGGTTTAACCATTTTCGGTTTATATTATAGATTCAGTGGTACGACATAAATTCGTACAACATAGGATTTTCTTAAATTAGCGGTTTATAGATTCTATACCGATGCAATATATATATAGAATGAAAAAAAAAAATTCACACGTAGTTTTAATTTAATTAAAAAGTAAGAAACAATATTTTATTAATAATTTTTTTTATTATAATATTACACAGATATAGAAGAATATCAAAAAAAAATTTTTTTTTTTTTTTTTTTTATAAATTTTTTTCTAAAATGATTATTAATATTTAGAGAGCACTCTTCCATTTTTTCAGTCTAATACCAAGGATTTTAATAAATCCTTCTGAATCAACGGGACTAAATCCACCTTGGACGTCCATTGAACTTTCTTCCATATCATACAATTTTACAGTATCTGATTTTCGGCCTTCAATAATAACACTTCCCTTATAAAGTTTTAGCTTGACTTCACCAGTCACGCTTTCCTGGTCGTCAAGCTCTCTTAGCCTATGCTGCTGAAAAAAATATCCCTGTTGCTCAAACCGTTAAAAAACCATGGTCAACCGATGAAAACTTGTTAGTAATTTCTTTTCTTTATAATTTTCCTTTTAAATTCCTTTTTTATGTCAATCCTCACCATATCTATTATATCTATTCTAATTTTGTTACTTAGGTTTCATATTTCGTATGAGGCCGGAATTTTAGAAGATCCTAACTGTACTCCT